AAAAAAGAAAAAAAAAAAAAAACAAAAAGGACAGCATCATAGGGTATCTTCGAGGCTTATGTACGTACCAACAATCGCATATCTCTCCCCCGGCTCGAGATCGTCCTCTCGCTCGTAAATCAAATTATCCAGGTCTTTCCTGTCTCTCTCAAAATCTCCACTGGAGCCTTGGAAAGGAATGTATTCGACGGTGAAACCCTCCGCTTCGAATCGCCGGAGAATGTTCGCGTCGAAGTCTGCCGTGTCTGAAGTGACGTACAGTCGGCGCAGAACAGGGTCAGTTTTCTTACGTCTATCGCTGCTGAGACTAGGAGATTGAGATCCTTGGGGAGGCGCTCTGCTAGGGGTGCTGCTGCGGCGACGACGATGAATATGCTGTCGGAGTCGTTCCATTTTCGGAGTGACTTGGAGTTAGGGTTACAGGTTGGCGTGTGAGTAGTAAGAAGTGACTCTTCCTGCAGTTTACCGCAATACTACAAGGTCAGGATACTAGCAATTGCGATCGCAACATTTTTTCAACGTGTAGATACGGGTGGACAACTACTTAAGTTTAACACAAGAAGTAACTAACAGGTCAGGCAACGTCTCTCACCAACGCTGGGCTGACGTCGACGAGTATTGGCAGAGTATTGGCAGTCTCCATCGTGGCTCCAGCCGAACCCAAGGATGCAACGCAAGGGGAACCGATGTTTCCGTTGCCAAGATAGGGCTGATCTGGTTCACATTCAATGTCCATGCATTATTACGCTATGAATATGCGGGTTTCCATGTATGTGGATGTCGAATGTTTGTCTATCCACCACGCCACCAATGCCAGTCTATTCAAAATACTAAAAAACTATGTACTGATACATCACCCCCTTGTCAAACAAAAGATAGAGCAAGCTCTAAAAACCAGTCAACCATTTTCGTTGCTCCTGCACGGCTTCCGAACAATCCTGTCCAGTAAGGTAGCTGACATATGCCTTTCGTTGGAGACTCTGGCGCGCAACCTCACAGTCAATCCGAATATCTTCAACCAAGGCTTCCAACGACACGTAGTCGTATTCTGGGCGGATGTACCCCAGAATCAAAAGGTTAAGCTTTGTGCCGTAGAAGTCGGGCAATTTGTGGAATTTCACTTGACCAGCCTCACCGTTCGCTGTCGGCGATGGCGATGAGAGAGGAGGCATGATATGGATTTCCTATGATGGTCAGACCCATACCTGATGTCATGTTGGTGAGACTCATAGCAAAGGGTAACATACCACAGATCGAGTGGTGTTCTTGTAGAAGGGATTGTATCCGATACTCAGCACAGCTGGAAGAATCGTCGCCTCCGATGTGAATCTGGACGGATCCAATGCGACTACTCCGTAGTACACCCCGACTTGAAGATCGGGATAGTCTGATAAGCCATCTGGGGGGATATTGGCCGTGGGGATTCCCAGCTGCCTTGATTAGTTTCCTTGGCATTGAAAAGAAGACGTAGCTACCGAGAGGTGGCAATCGGTACAACATAAAATGAAACTACATGAACATACCTCTTTGCTTCCCCGCCCAAACCCTTTGATCACCGGCCCAGATAACTTGATCGGAAACGGAGGCTCTGGGCCACTGTCTAGCCCGGTGACGGGATCCCTGGGACCGTCTGGACGCATTCTCCGTTTATTAACTTGGAAAACAAGTCTATGGACTAACTCCAGCGTTTGCCTGGCGACGGGCAACAATTGAAAGTGAGCAAAATGGTGGAATGTGGAAGAAGCCCGCAGTATCGATAAGCCGGCGATGCGCGGGGGGGTATCGGTTGTGACGGAATCAGTGCATACTGATTGGTGGCAATGGTATTACGACGAGGTACTAGTATCTTCACGATTTAATGCCTGAGGCTGACTGGCCGACCCAGCAATGTTATCAATCGATGACATCGTTTATCGTATCACATTTACTTCCTACATACATACCTCTACCTAAGTATGTGGGACGTTGTACATAATCAATTATTCTCTTGCCTCGCGATCATTTTGTTTCCGATCTCTCTCAAGACATCCTTCCTGATCTTTCCACTCCCCGTCACAGGATACTGGCCGATCGGATCGCCAGGTCCAACCCAAAAGACATGAGCCGGGGCCTTGTGTCGACCCAAGACCTGCCATATCCAGTTTTTCACATCATCCAGAGAAGGCCTGTTACGCTGTGGGGGTGATTGAAGAAAATGCAGCCACAATCTCGCCGTATTTATCATCCTCAAGTCCGACAATGGCAGCCTGCTCAATGTCAGGTGGCTCCATAAGCCTTTCTTCGATTTCCGTTGGATAGATATTTTCCCCTCCTAATTAGCATCAGTCTATCTCCAGTATTGACAAATAATCAAGCAAGCTCACCTCGGATAATGATGTCTTTGATCCTTCCCGTGATGCGACACTAGCCTGCTTCATCAATCGATGCTTCGTCACCCGTATGGATCCATATCACGCCGATCTCGTCACGTACCAGAGCTTCGGCTGTCTTTTCCTCGTTCTTGTAGTATCCCTTCTGTAGCAGATACCCTGATATGCAAAGCTCGCCCCGGGATCCCTGGGGAGTATGTGGTTCTGGCTGTCGACGACCTTGGCCCGGACGTGCGGGAGTGCTTTGCCTACAGTTTCCAGTTTCTCTCTATCTGGGTCCGTGGCTGCTGTAATATAGCCACGAACATAGTTGGAACGCCATGCAGCACGGTACATCCATAACGTATCAAAGCGTCCACCACTGCAGAGGCGTCAAAATCTCGACGGGAAAAACATTCGTAGCGCCACATGCAAGTGAGCATATCAGGCCACTGACGAGACCGAAGGCGTGAAACAATGGTGGCGGACAACAGACGATATCATTTGAGCTTAGATTCAAACGGGTACCGCACATGCGTCCATTGTTGATGATGCCACTGCTTGGTCAATGAAACCAAACCGCTTCAATATGCCAACTTGGAGACCTTACTAATGGCTAAGCATAGCAGCTTTTGGGACCCCGGCTGTTCCGCTAGTGAACTGGACATAGGCTATATCATGGCAATGCACCGAGTGCTGCGCTTGGTGTAAGTCTTGCAGTGACACCGAGTTCCCTAAACGTAGAATATCATCCCAGGTGACTAGCTCAATAGTATCAACATAATTGGTTCGGATCAAGACGGTCTGCTTCAGGCCAGGAACTGGGTGGGCCTGGATATGCTGGATGAGAGGCCTAGTTGATTTGAAGTTCACCATGTCACCTATGAAGAGCAAAGAAGCTTCTGTTTCAATTAACAATGGACCATCATGTTGCCATCAGCCGAGCCTACCTGTATGTCGGATGGCCCGATCACACTCCACGAATGTGAAAGTCTTATTTAGCACCACCAGAACAGCGCCAATCCGAGTCACAGCAATAACCAACTCGGCAAATCGTTCATCGTCCCCTGGGAAGATCGCAACTCGATCATCCCTGCCGATACCCATTGCAAGAAGCCCTTTAGCGAGATCCTGTGTATGCTAGCTCAAGACTTGGACATTAAGTCGAGCACCACTCCACGGGACAATGATGGCATCTTAAGACCCAAATCTCTCAGATTGCTGGTCCATAAGCTCTCTCAACGTGAGATGACGGAGGGGTGGCTCTCGGGGTCCCTGGACCATAGATAAAGAAAGGGGGGCCATCTTTGTAGATCAGGATTACAGATTGACTTCAACTGCAGTGATAGAGAGCAACTGCGTGATCTAGTCAGGCATTTGAAGTCCCTGTTTAGTAAGGCAGTCAAAGTGCAATTAGTATTATTTTGCTGAACCGTAAAGTAACGCTGTACTGATTGGGTTTGCCAGGGGAATAAATGCTGGCTGCTGATTCACCTTTTGGAACAGCGTACGTGTTTAGGGCGGGAATGGCCAATTTCAATATTATGCTTAATGCATCAGCACCTCTACATTCACTCCTTTGTATCCAGGATGATTTATCTTCCTTGGAGGGTGATGAGACTGTCAGTCTCCTTGTTTCACTATAGATACGCTCTCCGGTAATCAGAGGCTAGGGTCGCCTACTTCGCTTGTTCAAGAATATATCACCCTTGATATGTGCAGCCACATATATACAATAGAAAAATCAGAAACAGAGGAGCCCTATAAACAGCCCCTTGGGAATCATACAAACACTTATGTACCAGTGCCAGGATACAAGGGCATATCAATAAAGTCAAGGGAAGCAACAAGACAACAGAGAACACAACATTTTTTTGATCCTCCCAGAAGTTGGCCGTACATGTGGATTATAGCAACAATGGTACCTTGCATTACCCATAATACAATAAATAAAATCAAATGCATGGCAAAAACTATTGATGGGTCAGTATCCTCCTATCAAGGGAAACAGTAAAAATGGTTGCTCACATTCATCACAATAAGCATAGGGATGTCAAATACGTCTCGTTTTACTGTCCAGCAGTATGCGCATTCAACTTTGCCGTCTTTAAAGCCCAGCTGATTCATTCCCGCCTCGCTGGCGATCCCTCCTTTGCGCAGATGACTGTTCCACCGCTGATTGTCATCCGACTGATTCTCCATGTCCTCCTTCGTTTTGTATTTCAACAGTTTGCATGTCGTCATGACACTACCACGTGAGTCCCCAAAGGCGAGTCGGGCAAAATCATCGTAGAATTCCACCACACTGTCGTCATCAAGCAGCTCAGCCAAGAACACTGGTTGCGGGCGACCAGGAGTGCTTTCCGCTATGGAGCCCCGTGGAGTAAAGCTCCGTGACGATGTTCCCGAGCCCGGAACAGAGCCACCTGTATTGACATTCAGGTTGGGCTCCTTACCTAGGAGGACGTCTTTCTTCCACCCGGTAAGAATACTGAATTCCTTTCCTACAGCCGCAATTTCCCCCGTACGTCGACAAACGATGGTCGGGGTTCCACAGGCATTGATAAAGTCTTCATATTCGAACAAGGTTCGCTGGAAACATTTCTCCATGAATATCAGGTCGTCCCGGTTCAGAGTCTTGGTCGTCGCAATGAAAGACGGGCGGATCGACGCCAGTGCCTTGGCGATCTGCAAAGTCTTCTGTGGCGAAAAGCGTCGCTGGATGAACGCGGTCAGATTATGGAAACGATTGGTGTAGGCATACGGCTCCTTCACGTTCTCATATATGGATGAGGGGTTCCGTTGGCGTCGTCTAACCCCAACCTGTAAGTTTTGGTGCTTTAAACTCGGTGTCGTGATCGTAGGTCGTGGTCCGTTTGCCGAGAGGCCATTTGGCTTTGCTGTCACAGCACTGCTGAACGTAGCGTCGTCAAAGCCTGTCGTCATTTGAGGACTGGTCGTTGCATTGGGGCTAGCAAAGCCTCCAGGGCCGCTTTCGATCGCAAACGCATGTGGTGCATCTGCTTTAGTCAAGTGTCCCGGTATTACACTTCCTTGGCCGGACTGTGGGTAAACGCCTCCAACATTTACATGAGTTTGGCCCGTGGGTTGTCCGCTGGACCATTCATTCAGAAGAGGGTCGCCAAAAATGAACGGCTGTTGACCTCCAGGGCTCTCGCCAAAAGTTGCAGTGCCGGTGATCGGCGTGCCGGCGAATTGAGCCGAGCCACTACGTCCCATCGAGCCTCGCTGGGTAGCGGAATCACTGGGTGAGTCACCAGCCCCAGTAGCCATATGTCCAAGCATGCCAAACTCCAACGCGCCATAACGGTTCTCAAAGTTCATACTGGACAGGTCAAAGTTAAAGAGGGCCGGGTCACTGGGGTCAAAGAAGGGCCCGGCAAATGGATTTTGGCTTGGATTGGCCGTGCCGGACACGCCGGTGCTGGGCGGCTGCTGACCAACTTGTGATGAAAGGCTGTTGTTTCGAGCGGCTGGGTTAGTTTTCAGGGTGAAGGTCGGCGAAACAGGGGACTGCGAGGTGAAAGAATTTTGGTTCATAGTATTTTCCTGATAGACACTATAGGAGTTCGACTGCGGCGTGGGGTAGAAATTGGGACTGGAGTTCGGCTGGGTAGTGGCATTAACTGCATTGGCGCCATTTCTAGACAAGGGCAAGTTATTCCGCATCGTGTTATTATAGAAATTCCCGCCAATTCCAGGCATCAACGCTCCATCTGGCGCATCATGAAGATATTTGGCTTTTTTGCGAACCCCATCGTGACACGCATCTTGGAGGCCACGTTTGATACACCGCTGACACGGCCTTTCGTCACCTATGCGCAACTCAGTATTAGTAATTGACTCGGCCCTCAAAATAATCACATGCAGGAATACATGGGCCTCTGTGCCGCGCATGAGAGCTACGGCACATGGGAGGAAAATGGGAGAGGGAAGAAAACCATGCGACCAAAACTAAAACGAGGGTCAGTCTAGCGTACCGCAAGTCAGATGCGCCCGTTGACAAGCAAAGCAAGCCCTCCGTGCTTTCTTCCGTCGCGGTCTTGATGGATCCTTCGGGTTCGGTTTCTGGCCAGTTTCCACAGGCGCATTTCCATCGCCATTGCTCTTGCTCTTGGACTGCTCTGGCTGTTCCCCGACGCCTCCGGCCTCCAGTTCGGGCCCTCTGCGATCGGCTGGGGGCGCCGAGGTGCTATCCTGTACATCCACCGTCATTGTGACATTAAATATCGAAGGTAAATTGTTCGACCCTTAAAACCTAGTGCGCGTGCTATTCCGCGGTGTAGCCGATGACGGAAGGGTTGAAAGCTGAAGCGACAACCACCGCTTGCCACACCTATGCTATTCTAAATAAGACCGCGTCGTCGCGCCGCGAGCCAGCGCGCCGGTAGGTATCCAGATTGCCGGCTCAGTATTAATGAAAGTTGTTCCTAGTCCGGGAGTAATAGAAAAGCCCTTTCTTTGGCGATCTGGGCGCATAGATCCTCGATCTAACGGTTCGTAGAGGCTCGAGAGAAACGGGGCGACGGCGGACCGGTAACTGGGAGCGGAGGACCTTGCGTGCTCGGTTATTGTGGATCAGAAAGCAACTCTGAAGTTTTCCACTAATAAACCCGGATCGATAATTAGACAATGAGTCCACGATACGATCTGGTATGAATTCCCCCTTTTTCGCTTGTACAAATATTACAAGCAATCAAGCGTTTAAGTCTTTTTAATTGCGGTAGCGCGGGTGGAGCGAAGGGTTTCTCGGGGCTGCGGGGGGAAGCTCCAGAGCGTCGCCGAGATAAGATTCCGGGGGGGGTTGTTAATGAAAGAAACAATGCGGGAAATGGCTTGAGATAAGTGGCGTATTAAAATGGCAAAAGACAAGGAGGGGAGAGTTCAACGGTGAGGGGAGAGAGAAAGATGCAAAGATGTTAAGTCTGTGGAAACGCGGGGAAAGATAGACTGTTAGTAAGGCTAACTTAAGTAGTGGTCGAAAATTGAAAGGGAAAAAATTCAAAATAAAGATAAAAAAGACAAAAAAAAAAGATGGACAGGGACTTCTACTTCGTAAAAAAGAAGAGGGAAAAAATAGAAAATAAAAAAGTAAAAAAAAAGAATAGGCGGAAAAGCCACCAACACGAGCAGGCAAAGAGTCGCGTGTCCAGTCTGGACAAATCGAAGACACGGCGTGTTTCCCTGGTTGAGTCTTTTTTAGATGTCGAAAATTAACTCCAATCTACAATCATCAGAGGAAGAACCATCACCCTTCGTTGAGTTCCTTTGACGATCTGAATTAACTCCCCGCGCGAGGTTTCGTTTGATTTTCCATGGTCTGTTTTCAACCTTCCTTACAACGGAAAAGAGAAGACGAGGGAAAAAATAATAATTTTAAATTGGTAATTTTGGCGTCGGCTTACAGGAATAAATAGGTAAGAGTTTTCAGCCTTGCAAAACGAGGAAAAGAAAATGAGAGTCAGAAAGAGGAGCCTAATGATTGTTTTTATCATTCATCAACGTATTCTACTAGTCTACTACTAGTCGTAGTATCTGCCATGCATATATGCAGAACTTAGCAGGATCGACACTGAAGGAGGTATACAATGACAGCTTCGTTGCCTTGAAGATCTCTCACATGATAATAAGTTGAACCTGTATATCTAGAAGAAGCTCGTGAAAATAATGAAAACGTTAATACCAGCTATCGGTAATTGCGCGGTATTTAGAGATCCCACGTGTTGGTAGTGTTAATTACCGAGTACTAGCCCATACATCTTGTTTCTCCTCTAGTCCGAACTATTACTATGGACATACCACTAAACTCTGGCGAATTCACACAAAAGCCCCATCATCGTAAGGCAACGACTAATTTTAACCTAATCAGGTAGCCAAAAGCCCTCACAAGGATTGCCAGCCAACAGAATGGGCTGAATACTTTCAATATGAGCCATTTTTACCTACATCCCCGGGTCTTTCCGGCATGTTCCCCTAGTCATTCGTCCGCCTTTCCCCGACCATCCAGCGCCATGTCAAATCCAGTATTTGCCTCGGTTCCTGGGTAACCCTAAAGTGCCTACTCCGGAGTACTTCTCCTAGGCAAGTAGCAATGCCTCGACCGATCAATTCGGTGAGAATGGTTGACAGCTGAAATAACTTGGTCCTCTCGTGGTGATCTGCCATGTCCTACGCTCATTGTAGGCCTCGTGCTGTCCTCGTGTCCCGTTACCATTTGATTGGATTGTCACCATCCGGCCTACTTTGACCCAGTGTGGCTGATTCTCAACTGTAATTTAAGGATGGCACTGGCTCTTGGAGGGTTCAAGGGGGTTCATTTGCCCTACCTAGCAAGCTGGACATCCCGTCATATGTTTTTTGGTCGGCCTGCACTCGTTCCCGTCATATGAACTGTAAGGGATTGCAGGGGTATGTTTTACCCCTGTGGAGTGGCCGTACCGGGTTTAATCAACGAGCACGAGGCTTCTATCTATACTTTATAAAACCACCATCTATTACATTTGCGTATGCGTGTACACAATGTACGTACGTACGTATGTATGTATGTACATACATACATACATGTACATGCTTTAAGTCCATTGCCCATCTAAGCAATAGTCGTCCCACTTCCCGCTGTACTATAAGCAAGCCAATTAACCAAATTCTTACCATATTAGTACGGGCCCTAGGGCCTCGGGGGCCAGGGTAAATGAACTCATCCCGAGGCCGATATAAGAGAGTCAGATCCTTCATCCGGACCGAGAAGAAGTGGATATCATATCTATCGGGCAGCAAATCGGCTCTTTTGCCGAATGTGACTACCGTACCGGAAAAAGATATACCTGCCGTCCCAATTACCGTTAGCTCTCAATTAACCATTGCTTGATCTGATCTACAGCTGCATCAAACTGCTCATGGAGCCAGGTGCTGGCAGGAAATTTGCCTAGAGGTCAAGAGAAACCCCTAACACCAAGGACGCCGAATACATTACGCCATTGTAGCTGCAGCGTTGGTCTGCAAGGAAGGGCTACCAACTCCAAGCTATATAGCAGGCAACGCGGTGTAGGCAAGCAATGAATTTGATGGCGAAAGGTGAAACATGATTGTTTGGGGGACTTACGGAAATGGCGCCATAACAAGCGTCAGAAAAGCGAGCAGCGAAGAGGCCCAGTGGTATCCCAGGTTGTTGTACACTAAGTCCATTGGTCAGTACCTGGGTCTGAAGTCGGTACGCCTAACAATAGTAGCAATGCAGGAAGCTTGGTGACACTGATGACAGTCTGGTCACTCAAAACGAGCTAAATCATATAGTGGAGGAGGGTGTGATCAGGTTATAGTGCTTCTGATCCGTTTTTTCCCGGGCCCATTGGTGTGTAGTAACGAACAGACAGAATGGCTATGTAACATTATATGAAAAAGAGGAGGAAGAAGAAGAAGAAGAAAGAAAAAAGAAAGAAAGAAAGAAAGAAAAAAAAAAGGCCACTTACTTTGGATTCCAAAAAGGGGAAAGACACCGCCGAACGTTGAGCGAGCGAAGCTGTTCGCTGCTAGGGAACTTGCAGCAAAGACTGGATACGCATCAACCAAGAACGTAAAGATACCTGAGTATACAAGAATGGTCCTATCCAGGACAGAATTCATCAGCGTCAATGATCTACGTGGCCAGGTTTGCAGCAGGAATCAAAACTTCAGGGAAGTTATATTGCCTGCCTTGTGTTCAAACTCACCCGGCTCCAAAGAATGCACTGCCAATTATGGGTACAATCCAATGCACATAAGGATAAATTGTCCAAGCAAATATAAATAATCCTATGGTGACAAGGGGGCCACCAAGAATCGCTGCACCATGTGATTAGCAGTTCTGGTTTACCTGAAAGGTACTGGGCAAGAGCATACGCACCTGGAGGTAGACGCCACTCTGGTTGAAAGTCTTCTGTTGTTCCCTCCGTGCTCTTGTGTTTCTCTTCCAAGCGTTGGTAGACGCGACGCCAGAAGGGATCAGATACAATAGCAAAAACCATTCCCACAAAAAGGCCGAGGAAGCAAAGACCGCGCTGCCACAGTTCAAGGCCATACACGTTGCCAAATACCAGCTGGAAGGCACCAAAAATAGGTATATTATACCCAGCAAAATGGCTGAGAACACACAGAGGCACAAGCACATAGGTTCCAGTGTCAGGAGAAGAACTGGCCTGTAGATCGAGCGTAAGACAGTTCGTGCCACCGAGCGATTTAATCTTTCAATCGGTGCTTTCCATCGATCATCCCCTGTCTCTTTGCGAAGTTTCTCTGCCTTTTGCCGCAGAATGCTAGTGGGACTAGTGTTAAACGAGTTTCTAGAGAGTAAGCTTTGGCAATTTCACTTACACGGGGTGATAAGTTTCCGGGACAAAGAAAACAATTGAAATCAGCAATACGCCTGTCCAGATAAGAAGCACATAGAACGTCCAGCGCCTGAGAACAAGTCGTACAAGTGTCAGCCACAATTATCTCCAAATAGACAGCTAGGTAGATATACCATGTAGTGAATTGATTTATGAACCCACCAACCCTGAGGCTTGTCAATCATCGCAACGCAAACCCAACTGACAACTGTTCAGCAATCGGGGCTAGTAGCAAAACTCACAATGGTCCTACTTCAGGTCCAACAAAAGGTGATGCCGTGTACAGCATCATAGGCGCGCTCAGTTCATGGCGAGCAAATAAATCTCCTACCGTTCCACCTGCAACGCTGAGAAAGGCGCTCCCAGCGATACCATTAAAAAAGCGGCATACGAGCATGGTCTCAATATTCTCGGCCACAGCGCAAGGAATGAGCCAGATCAAGAATAAAGTGAATGAGGTAATATATATATATCTTCGGCCATAAAACTAAGGAGCATTAGCTAGGGTGATGAAGTTTAGCGTTGGGTATGCAGACCTCCGATAGGGGTCCCAGAAAAAGCGGGCCAATACCTGGGATGAGTAGAGGTCAGAAACTAGACATAAAAGCCAAGCAAATTCCTGACGGCTGGGACCTACCAAGGCCCCATATAAAGAGCGATAACCCGAGCGTTGCGACCAACCGAGAACAATTGAATTCTTCTGTTATCTGGTCGTAGGTAGCGGTATACATTGACGAGGTGCAAGTCCTTTCGACAAGGCATCAGCACAACGCAAGCAACGATACAGTAGTCACTCACTACTCACACGCAAAGAGAGCCCAGCGAGCAAATGATAACAATCAACCACCGCCTCATGGTATTGAAGTTCCGAGGGTTCATCGGGTCATCCTCGTCCCAGCTAACAATAAAGGCAGACGATTCATCTGCCTCGCCCCCATCATCGCCAAGAGCAGTTTCTGCAGTTTCTTCATCCGCGGTATGGCAGCTGTATCCATCATTCAAAGACCAGCTACGTTCGATGGGACGTGAGTTGGTGGAGTGCAACTTCTGCATCCGCTCTTCGTTGGCTGGTGGGGTTTGGATTGGCGCAAATGTGTCGTCCATATGTTCATCGGATCTCACCTTCTCCAATTCATCTGCCTCGCTCCCTTCGTCACTTGTAGAGCGCCTGGTTGAATCCACATCGGTACTCTGCACTTGCCTGAGGGGCGATACCACCCGCTGTGACGCAGTCATGATCGAGTAGTGAGGTAGAGCCCTACTCTCCTGTAGTTTTTCGCTAATGCTATCGGAGATTTTGAAAATATGAAAACTACGTCTCTCGACTGTGTAACAAAATGATAGCCCCAAATACTAAAGTAACTCAACGACGATCGCTTGAAATAAATGAATGCCGGCAATAATCACCCCAGTGAGGGCAAAGCCGAGTCACACCCTAAGCAGTACTTGCTCATAAAGATCTCTGGGGAAATTGACCGAAAAATGGAGATTCGGAGGAACCGAGGGTTTCAATAAATATTCAGTGTCTGATAAACGAACAAGATAAAGCCTGCAAAGTAAAGTAACTATTAGTCACATTTGGGAGGATTGTACTAACTAACTACATAAACCGGTTAGTCTAGTTCTTGCTGATCAATCTGGATTGAATCTTGAATAATTACTGGCACTAGTCTAGTCGGCTTTTCCTCTGCCGATTGCCACAGCATTATCAGTGGAGACAGATCACAGCTATAATACGTATATCCTTGTTCGTTGCAGGAAGTGGTAAATCGTATGTATGAATCGTTAAACGGTAACTCTCGCGCCTAATTTTCTCTTTTCATTTCATTTCCACGTCAGTCACCTGGTCCTATCTCACCGTTTTCACCCAGGACGTTGGAGATCATTTAAGTTTTGATAGAGAACTACGAAGTACATCGAGTATGGAAAATTCCCCGAGCCACACGTGTCCCACCCCCACGTGAACACACCTGCTACAAGTATCTCGTAATGGATCATACAAAGTTCAATTGTTCGCTTCTATACCTAAACCTATGTGAAGAAAGACATTAGAAAACCCCCTTTAAGTATCGCCCCTAGAAGCTCGCCCACAACAATAAGGAAAATACCAACTTTCCAGCTTTGGAACGAGGATCCAAACAGTCATTCAATAGCTACCTTTTCAATCCGAACAGACAACTCCATGACACCAGTGTTTCATTACATGAATAATTTCCCGCATCCAGATAACAAGCCCTCAAGGGAACCCCGGCCCAAAAAAAGAAAAGAATAAGAGGGAGCAGAAAAGAGGAGAGGATAGAAGCAACAACGAGTAAGAATCGGCCACTCGAGCAAAATGTCCTGTACAGATACACACCTGACACCTCCATAGGTCCTGATCTCTGAAGTTGGCGCACCGCGCTAAACTACCACCTGGGAAGGTTGAGTGCCTACTTCCCCATTGGCGCTCTCTTCAGCCCACGAACCCCAGAGAGCACGCTTGCCACGGATTTTGAGAGGGCCACCAACGGTATCGGGACGTTGTTCAACTTGGACGGCGTCCTTTGTGGCCAAAACCAAAACCTCAAAAAACATCTTCGTCGCATCCGCCTTGGATGCCTTGCGTTCAGGTAGAAGATCCTGGAACTTCACGCTCTTCTTCTGTTCCACTGCAGATTCACCGAGACAGTCGCGGAGAATGTGAACAGCATGCTTGGTACCAACGGAGACAGGGCCACTGTCCGCAGGTTGGATAGTGTCATCGAGCTCTTCCAGGGGATGATTCATTCCCTCATCGTCGCTCATATGCAAACCTTGATCGTCATCATCGCCGGGAAATTCGATATCAGACCGCTGATGAAGCGTTGAGTCAAGACCAACACCTTCATCGATCGGTACGATGGCATCTTCTTCGCCAAATTCCAAAGCAGGGGCAGTAGCTGCCTCGATTTCCATGTCTGCAATTCCGCTATCACGCTTCCTCTTGAGCTCACCAGCCTTCTTAATAGCATCGAAGGAGAGCAAGTCACGAAGTTCTGGAGCCCACCCACGTCCGCGACCTCCTCCTAGCACATTCGTCACAAAGTCACCATTCTTTTGCATGTCCATGAGAGTGAGCAAAACAGGATCACGGGGTAAGAAGGACGTCGGCTTCAGGATAGTGGAGCGATCCGCTTGCAAACCCTTTATAATATGGGCCTTGTAATCAGTTTCCTTATCGAGCTCCACGGTCATAACTTTCCGTCGCTTCGTGCGCTGCGAGTGTTGGACAGTCATATCATCCTCTGCCTCTCCCTCTACCTCGTCCTGATCTTCACCTTGCTCTTGCTGGAGTCTTTCCATGTCTGCGTCTGGCATCTCTGAGAGAACGCTCATTGAGTCGCGATCGAGCCTGCGCTCTTCGGCTTCGAATGCCAGGTCTCCGTCATCACCAAGATCCATGGCTGTATCGTCCGCCTGCAGAAGAGTGTCTTGTGGGCCCTCGTTGGCCAGGTCCATCTTGTCCAGGGGGTAATCATCTTCGCCAAGGTCCAGAGGCAGGTCAACATCGTTGAACTTGCCAGCATCGCTAAAAAGATCCTCTTCGACAGGACGAGGTGCGGGCGCATCTCGACCAACTTCCATACTGAAGTCATGCCCCAAGGGTGTATCATCCTCTCCCAAGTCAAGGTCAACCAAAGTATGGTCTTCAAGGCGCGCGGGCTCTTGTGACACAGAGCGCCGAAGACTACTGTCTGGGAAGAGCTGGCTTCCAAAGTCCATCGATGTTCCTGGGCGCTTCCCCTCCGGCTCAAAACTGAGCGGCTGGGGTAAGAGCAAAGAAGAATCCAGGTTCATGAAAAGGTCCGACTCTGTAAGCACATCTGGCAAAGTAATACCTCCTGGGGCAACAACAGTGGTTGTCAAGTCATTGTTATTAGTCAAGCGGAAAGCCTAGGAATTGTTTCTTTAGTGTCATTTGTGGAAACAGTATCATTTGCCCGAACATACCATTTTGATTTTCATGAGAGCCTCATTGCAGTCATCCAATAGGTAGCGTGCCTTTCGGCTATAGATCCGGACCACACCTAACAACAACTGACCGCTCAACCGCAAAGCCATTGGAGCTTGTCCTTGGTCGACAATAGCACTGACACTGCTCTCGATATCCGACTGTAGAATGTGCGATTTGGAAAGCTTGCGCTCCAAGTTAGCCGATAACCAAACGCGGGCCAGCGGCCCGGTTTTTGACAGAAGGGTCTCCGAATAGAACATGGCGTCACGAAGTTGTGTATCAAGCGATATTAGAAATGGTTATTCCAAGGGGTATAAGCCCGCCTAACGCGGGGTGGTTTGCGAGAAGTCCCTGGCAACCCAAATGCGATGACGCGCTGTATCCAGAAAACAAAAAGATCGGCAACTGATGCTTCCTCCCCTTAAGGCCTAAAGGGGTTATAAACCCGGAGACGGTAAGATAGATACTATATCTGACGAGAAAAATTATCGCTGTAAAAAGAAATCCACCAAGTCCGAAGGCTAAAGAGGGGTGCAGGAAAGGAGGGGTGGTTGGGTGGATTGCGATGACTCTGGTGTGGTTTTCGCAAGGGAAGGGAAACAAGAGAAAGAGAGGAAGGGCGCGTCTAGCGGGCGGGTTGATGGGCAGCCTCCACTGGCAACGGGTTGCGGCGGGCAGCACTGGGATAATAGGCAATGCTGATTGGGCGTTTAGTTGCGTGGCTGGGGTCACGTGGTATTAGGTCACTCTCTGGTTACACAAGTTAATATTGTCAAATACGGCCCCAGGGCTGTCTATACTGTGTATAGTATATTAGGGCCTGATTGACAATCAATCAGCCTCGCCTTAACTCCTTAAGGTTCCTCATCAGTGAAAGGGATAAAAGAAGTATATATATAGCCTCGAAAGGCTTCAACAAAAAAATACTCCCCGACTGGGAGTCGAACCCAGGTCTCCCGCGCTTGTTCCTCGTATAGGATGACAAGCGGAAATCATGACCGTTAGACCATCGAGGAATTATTGACTGAGTTCCGTACCAAGCAATTTATATTTTATTTTACAAAGCCGCTCCTAACCTGGTGGAGCTTTCTCATATCATGGGAGCGGTGAACAAAAGCAGTATATTCCTGGCATGAACAATGATGACTAGTCCTGCCTCCCCTTCAATACCTGAAGGACCGGCGTGGAATCCACAGATTTAGGGTGATCGAGTCACCTGCAGTATCAGTCCAAAGAATTTACGTGTGGGCGACTGTGGAGGTAGGCGCATAGCATACCAGGTAGTACTCCGTACATTGGCTATAGTGCACCCACACTAAAGCGCGTGACCGCCAAGAGTAACCCCTTCGCTAGGAACAATGACAAGCGTCTGCATACAATATGTTCTCTCCGTAATTAAGAACGACAGTTGGTTTTTAATTCAACATCCAAACATTGATCGACACGGCTCTCCCTAAGAGCGTCGTCTTTGGTGGGACCTGGAGGTCTAGCCTTGTCTCTTCTTGAACCAGCTGTACGGCCCTTGTCTGGTTTCCACTTAGTCCCCCCATATTATTCGATACACCTGCGGCCGAAATCGCGTCTGAGAACGTGGCTTCTACGTAATTTTTTTCCTCTTTGCCATCGCAAAATCTTGTCCACCTCGACATTCTCCTTGATCCCGACGGGATGATAACCATTGTGAGCCCCATCTAGCAGGACGTCTTTGGACAGAAAAAGTATGAGAGATGTCAAGGTCCGCAACGCCTGCGCTACCTTTGCATAATGCTCAGGCCCCCGACTTGAGACCTCCGTCATATACTCCGACAGGTGTACCCTCCAACACGTCTACTTCAGTAAGTCTCGCTGTAAGGCAGATCTAGCTGATATGCGCCGCGCTCGCGCTTTCGATTGGCTTCCTTTGGGCATCCAGCCGCTAACTTTCAGTTCATTAACTAGACATCCACGTCGACTTACTCTCTATTAGACCCACAGGAAACAGCTGAGCGCTTACAGACGTCCCTTACCCACGGACTCACTCCTGCAGAAGCTGAGATTCGTTTAATACAAAATGGGCCCAACGAACTGCCGCACGAAGACCCTGAGCCTCTGTGGCTCCGGTTTCTTAAACAATTCCGGGAGACATTAATTCTACTGCTTCTGGCGTCAGCGGCAGTCTCTTTTTATGGGCAATCTTGATGATGCGGTAAGCATCACTCTCGCGGTAACCATCGTTGTTACCGTCGGATTTATTCAGGAGTATCGATCGGAAAAATCCTTGGAGGCCTTGAGCCGCCTGGTGCCACATCATGCGCATTTAATACGCGACGTTCCTCTCTCAAGTACCCCTCCTATCGGAAGCTCGATCCCTACAGCTACCAGTGGAGAGTTCGAGCTGCAAGATCTCCGAAGCAAGAGCCCGGGCTCAGTTTCTGCCGCTGTCAAGGCTTCCACTACTGTTCCGGCGAATGAGCTAGTACCTGGTGACCTAGTTTTATTTACAGTTGGAGACCGTATTCCGGCGGATATACGCATTACTGCAGCCACTGATTTGACCATTGATGAATCAAACCTGACTGGTGAGAATGAGCCGGTTGCTAAATCGCCAGACGCAATTCGCGGCCCGAAGGCTCTGGCGACACACTCGCCCAAGATTGTCACTCCGCCCCGATCTCCATTCTACGACGCCCCAGCCAGTGGCGCTGTAGGCGCTGATATCCGCTTGAATGAGCAGCACAACATTGCATTTATGGGAACTTTGGTTCGGTCGGGGTATGGACAGGGTATTGTGATAGGAACAGGTGCGAAGACTGAATTTGGCAGTATTTCAGCCTCTTTGCAGGAGATCGAGAGCCCACGCACACCGCTTCAATTGTCGATGGACCGTCTTGGTCAAGAATTAAGCTATATCTCCTTTGGTGTCATTGGGTTGATTGTAGTCATAGGATTGATACAAGGCCGAAAGCTCCTTGATATGTTCACCATTGGTGTCTCACTTGCAGTCGCTGCGATTCCAGAGGGTCTTCCTATTATCGTGACAGTTACTCTTGCTTTGGGCGTGCTGCGCATGGCCAAGAGGGGGGCTATCATGCGAAGACTCCCCAGCGTCGAGACTCTCGGCTCTGTGAATGTTGTATGCAGTGACAAGACGGGGACACTAACGCTCAACCATATGACAGTCACAAAGATGTGGCATTTTGACTGCCCGGAGCCATTCGAGGTGCATAACGACATAAGTTCACTAACGCCTGGGCCTGCAGCTCGGACCGTTCTTCGTGTCGGTAATATCGCTAATAACGCTAGACTTTCGCGCGTGCATGCAAATTCACCTGCCAGCGCATCTTCTGCTGCAGTGTTGTCTTCCACCGATGATAGGGCTCCGGGAACCATTAGGAGTAGGTGGGTTGGCCAGCCAACCGACGTTGCCATCCTGGATTTGTTGGACACGTTCGGGGAGGATGATGTGCGTGACCGCATCAGCGCCCGCATCGCCGAGACTCCCTTCAGCTCTGAGCGCAAATGGATGGGTGTAATTATTGGCACTGGCACTGGCGAGTCAAGTAATATGGCATACATTAAAGGTGCTCTTGAGCAAGTTTTGAAGCGTTGTGATACGTATCTTACAAAGGATGGACGCGAAGTTATACTGGATGAGCCGCGACGTCAAACAGTGAGGCACGCTGCTGAGCATATGGCATCAGAGGGTCTCAGGGTGCTCGCTTTCGCCAGTGGAGCAGTGCGAGATACATCAAAAGGGCGACCTTTTGGCAGCAGGACAGGCACTCCTGTTTCTAGAGCTACCCCGGGTGAAGATGATGGCCGATATACCGGGCTGGTCTTTGCAGGACTTGTGGGGATGAACGACCCTCCCCGTAAGGATGTTCACAAATCCATCAGGCGCCTTATGGCTGGAGGAGTTCGCATCATCATGATCACAGGAGACGCTGAGACCACGGCAGTTGCGATTGCAAAGAAACTAGGAATGCCAATCAGTGATATAGCCGGTTCGCGACCTGTCATGACTGGTGAGGAGATCGACCGCATGAGCACCGCGGAGTTGGCGCAGGCCATATCGTCTACTTCCATTTTCGCTCGCACAAGCCCTGACCACAAGATGAAGATTGTACGTGCCTTGCAATCCCGAGGAGATGTGGTGGCCATGACGGGTGATGGTGTGAATGATGCACCAGCCCTCAAGAAAGCAGATATCGGTATCTCGATGGGTAAATTGGGCACGGATGTTGCCAAGGAGGCAGCAGATATGATCTTGACGGACGATGACTTCTCCACGATCCTGCGGGCCATTGAACAGGGCAAAGGGATCTTTTACAATATCCAGAACTTCATTACATTCCAGCTAAGCACCAGCGTTGCTGCATTGAGTCTTGTATTGTTAAGCACTACTCTTGGCTTCAAGAATCCGCTGAATCCGATGCAGATCCTATGGATCAGTAAGTTAATGTCATGTGCGAGCACTTGGCAGCTGATAGCTGACATTCATCAACAGATATTCTTATGGACGGCCCTCCTGCGCAGTCCTTGGGTGTAGAGCCCGTTGATCCGTCAATCATGGGACGACCCCCACGACCCAGAACAGCCCGGGTACTCACGAAGCCTCTCATTCAACGGGTGCTAACTTCCGCATTGATGATTATGCTGGGCACGCTTGCCATTTACGTCTACGAAATGGGCGATGTCGACGACGAGCTGAACCCAGGCAAACGCTCCCGCGTTGTAACGGCCCACGACACAACCATGACTTTCACCTGCTTTGTGCTCTTTGACATGTTCAACGCCTTGACTTGCCGCAGCGAGGGGAAGTCGGTGCTTCGTGGCGAGATCTCCCTGTTCGGGAACAGGATGTTCAATTATGCCGTACTTGGATCACTTGCCGGACAGGCCTGTGTGATTTATCTGCCTTTCCTGCAGCGAGTCTTTCAGACGGAGCCGCTCAATCTGGCGCATTTGTTCAAGCTATTGTGTATTTCGAGTTCAGTGTTTTGGGTAGACGAGGCCCGGAAATATTACCAATCGGTGAAGCGGCGGCAGGCTGTTGGGGTGGGATACAGCGTAAATGTTTAAGGCCGGGTTGATATACGCTTTGCACTAGTTGTCATAGAGGGGGCATCATAGAGAATTAGTATTCTTGGGAGACACCTGAAAAGTGCGTATATTGTGCGGAGTAACATTGTTTTGGTCAACGGGTTTGATAGAGAGAGGAAGGAGAGGGATACAAGTTATAGGGGAGGTTAAATAAATATGTACAGGTCTAAAAAATAAAAAATAATAAAAACTGACCGACGCAGGGATCGAACCTGCAATCTCTTGATTCGTAGTCAAGCGCCTTGCCATTGGGCCAGCCGGCCAACTGGTAATGTTATCATGTTTTTTATAATACACAGGGAAAATAGATTTCTCAGTGGTAAACGCCCTCTTTACTCGGTAGCCCATGGTCACATTCAAAAACCATCATCAATGTTTTGGCCGGAAGAAGAACACTGTATGTATAAAATTGTAATTAGTATCTTGGAGTCTACAGCTGGGTATATTATGAGCTCTTAATCCTATCGTGTTGCGC